CCAAGCATTGTTCTCATTAATCACACAATGGGATACATTTTTTAACCGCATAATGTGGTTCATGTCCCGCTTTGCTGTTGCACCTCATGAGCAGTGCACGTAACATTTTGCAATATGGGACTGGCTAATAACAGTGACTATTTTTTAAAATTCAACTCAAATTTTAGGTTTTTGTCTGCTGATTGCACTTTTCCTCATTTTTTTTAGATGTTTACATTGCAACATGTGCACATGGAACACTCCAAGCACCATAACTACTAAAGCTCGCTGTAGTAATCATGGTGCCACTATTGCCCTGGTGCTGTCCCAGTATAATTTACCAAACCATTTCAGTACAGTTTGAAAACTTACCTGGATACCACTGGCACCACTGCAGTGTCTGGTCTTTTACAGACTCCACATATCAACTTAAAGGAATACTCCAAGCACCATAACCACTATAGCACAGTAATGTTGTCAATAGTGCTTTGACTTCTTACCTGGAATCCACTGAGCTCTTCTTCCTCCCTCCACTCAGCTGGAAACTCCCTTCACTGAGCAGATCCACTGGTGCATGGCTTAGTTCATTGGCCAAGAACTTCAGCTCAAGAGAGCTAATGGAAGCTCCTAGTAGGAGCTGCTGGCTCTCACTTTTGCCTGCAGTTCTAAAATGAGTTGATTACTTACATTGAAGGTGGAGGGCTGTGTGCCAGGACATTACTGGCAACATAACCTCTAGGGATTGCTGTCATGGTCAAGGCACTTGGAGTGTTCCAAGTCCCTGCCAAAACCCTTTCCATATCATGTCTTATACACAACCCTCAACCTTTACCTCAGCCATTACAGGCTAGTGGGATAGCTCAGTGGGCTAAATTATCATCAGTAGAATCTATTTAACCCTTAGGAGTTGCAGCTTCAAACCCTGGCAGGGTTGACTCAGCCCTTCAACGTTCTGAGGTAGATAAAATGAGTACCATTAAATTAGGCAATAGTAACATCCCCTGGATGTTGAGGAAAAATAACATTCCCAGGATGTACTTGGAAACCAGAGTAATATATATGTACCTCTCCTGGTTAAATGATTTGCTATTATTATTATTATTAATATGAATCACATTATGACACCAAATCTTGGAAAATTTTCAGAGCACTATATAAGCCTATATACATTGTATTGTACTGACAAAAGAAAAAAAATAGCTTGGGTAATTTTCCAATGAGGCAAATCTGGCCTAAAAGGTGCAATTTCCTTGTAATTTTTCCACAATTCCTCTTTCAGTTCTTACTGCACCTCCTATTTTCTATTGTATGTATACATATATATATATATATATATATATATATATATATATATATTTCTTGTGTGTATACCAAAATAAAAAAACGGAATGAACTGAGTGGAACTGAAATTCTGATGATGTAATAAAATGCATAAGTTTATTGGGTGAAATTGTGAAATACAGTCACATACACAAAGCACAAATAAACACAATATAAAATACTGCTCAGGTGCCTCTATTCTAGTGAGCCTTAATGCCAAAATCATAGAAAGATATGCAGGTAAAACATGCACTATTGGGTATTCCCTTTAAAACAATATATAACGTTAGTTGCTGACAATGTTAATTTCTTTCGTAACTACTGTGCAAAATATCCTTCGCAATGGGTCTGCTCAGTCATAACTTGGACAGTTATTGCATCCTTTTGAATTTTATTGACATTAAAAAAAAATATTAAGGAGATCTTTCATACAATACTGAATATCAAATAAGCACATATGTTTTCAGCGCGCACATATTTGCAGTTCAATAGTTATTTTCTCATATAGAAAGATAATGTAACTTCACAGTGTTTTGCAATGTATTTTTACACATCAAATCAACATTTAGTGTAGTATGTTAAAAATTTCCAGTGGATTTTCTAAATACCACTAGAATTTTGCCTGTAAGTATTTTGTATGCTTAATACAATGTTAGTGTTTTGTTGCACATGGCTAAACCTTCTTTTTCTCTCTATTTCACATGAATATGATGAAACTATTCACATCCCGCTGCATGTCTTCACACAGTTGTTATTATGTCAGATGTTAATTATGAATACAATACTGATGTTTTAGAGACCAACAGTGGAAATACAGATGTGTCTAATAATATTTCATTATTACTTATTACATTTATTTTGCTCAACTAAGTAATCTCATAAAATGTGCCGTTCTCTAGAAGTGTATTTATTTGCTCACTCTACTGTGTATAAATAATATAATCACAGAAAGGCTTCCAGAAGAATTGATTACCAGGGTAGGGGACATAGACACCAAAGAAAAGGGACAACGACAATGCCTGCTCCAATACCATAAGCTCAGTTTAGTTATACTGGCACATGTAATGGGTAAATAAAACATACTAGTGTGTGGTAGCAAAACACTGGAGCAAAAAAACGAAAATCATGAACCAAAGAGAAGAGATTTCAATCTAAAGGAAATAAACACGTACATACCCAGGATATACTTAAACAAAAGCATCCCTAATGCATTATTACTGGTACAACACTTTCTAAATAAATAAATATAGACAATGCGTTGAGGTGGCTATAAATTAGTAGATATAAATTACGAATGTAGATTACGTGACGTAAGGTATGTCAGCATCGGACATAACAGATCAGAAGAAGCATCAATTAGTGCTTTGTGTAATTTAATTATTTTAAATATAAGTCTGATAACTAGGGCAATGCTTGATAGCACATGGTTGCCTACCCCTGCACTAGAGGACTCTAAAAGCCAGAGCAGCTATGAGAATATGTATACCCTGTAAGTGTGAGTTAGGTATGATGGCAATAAACAGTAAAAAATATTTGTTTAAATGAACAGACCACATTGTATCGTGAGATACGAAATATAGTTTGTGGCACAGTCATGGGCATCTCTCTAGGTAAGAACCAGGATCTTAAATGGAGTTGTGTAGGAAATAGACTGTGCATTTTAGGAATGAGTTGTTGGAATATTAGAGGAGCTAATTACAAAATAAAGTAAGCAGGGGAGCAGAAGCATTCATTTAAGATGATCAAAACACGTATATTTTAGATTGCAGATAGATTAATTCTAAGAGTCTGAACAAGGAATTTGTTTGTATCATGTAGAGCCAGGCTGGCATCAGGATTTCATAATGTGATAACGGACAGCAGAATCAAGATAAGGATAAATAACAGATAAGGCTGAATGCAGTGATTGCACAGTTGACCATTAGGGGCTCTATGAAAAGATGGCGAGATAGATATCAAACATGCAGTTCCTGACAAGTTTGCTTTTGAGCGCTATAATTGCCAGGATGACCACCTATCCTGAAAACAAGCTTTGATTTTTATTGAATTAGGCTAGTGCAACTGTAGTGGTGCAACAGTCAACTGACTCAACATATACAGAGATATAGCAAGAGAGAAAAGGGGGCCTGCACTCCAGACAAAAATAAGTAAACTTTCTTTCAGGTAGTGTCAAGGCGACAGTACTCTAAACTTTAGAGATGGCTCCTATGTCCAACATCACCATTGGCGGATCCGGGGGGGGCAACGGGGCAATTGCCCCCCCCCGAGATTCTCCCCTGCCGGCTAACGCAGGGCTGGCATTGCCCAAGTGGCAGCCCTGCAATGTGCCTGCAGACCAGGGAGGAAGATCAGTGATCTCCCTCCCCGGTCCGCAGGCACCGTGCTGACAGCCGGCAGCGGAGGGAGGGAGTGAGAGAGAGGACCCGGAGCTCAGTCTGCAGCTCCTCCGGGTCCTCCTCTCTCGAGATTTGGAGCATTGCCGCGGTTACCACGGCAACGCTCCAAATATCACGAGAGTGAACTCTAGCCCGGGAGTGCGGACTAGAGTTCACTCTCACCACTGGGACCACCAATGAATCCCCCACCGGACCACCAGGGAAATGTCCCCCCTCCTCCTAAATAAAGGTAAGAAGGGAGGGGGGACATAGAATATTTATTTTATTAAATTATTATTAAAAAGCCTCCTTCCCCCACCCACATACACACACTGCCCCCCCATTACACACACTGCCCCCCCATACACACACTGCCCCACAAACACTGTCCCCATACACACACTGCCCCACAAACACTGTCCCCATACACACACTGCACACCCACAAACACTGTCCCCATACACTCACTGCTCCACAAACACTGTACCCATACACACACTGCACCACAAACACTGTCCCCATACACACACTGCTCCCCATACACTGTCCCCATACACACACTGCACACCCACACTGTCCCCATACACACAATGCCCCACAAACACTGTCCCCATACACAAACTGCACACCCATACACACACTGCCCCACAAACACTGTCCCCATACACACACTGCCCCCCAAACACACACTGCCCCACAAACACTGTCCCCATACACACACTGCCCCCCATACACACACTGCCCCACAAACACTGTCCCCATACACACACTGCCCCCCATACACACACTGCCCCACAAACACTGTCCCACAAACACTGTCCCTGACATACACTGCCGCACTCACACACTTCACCCTTAACACACACCACTGCTCCTATACCCTATATCCCAGCAGACCCCAGGTAAGTTGTCAAACTGTTCTTAAACGGTATGACTACTTACTCTGGGGTGGAATCCTGGCACTACTGACACCATAACTACTACACTGAGCTGTAGTGGTTATTGTGCCTGGATTATTTAATTAAATAATCTACAAGTGCCCCTCCCGAGATCAGGCTCTGGATCCGCCACTGAACATCACATGTAGTTAGTTACAGAAAAGTCCAGGCACTCAGTGTTTTTATATTGGCAGACTTTCATTGGAACATATTACACTTAAAGTAATATTTCAGTAATGCTCTAAACTTTATCAAAGCTTGTATGATGTTCCAATAAAAGTTTGCCAATATAAGAACATTAAGTGCCTGTACCTTTTCTGTTACTGTCAACAGCTATAGCCATCCACCAGAACTGCCCAATAATGGATCGTTCAAGATGGACATGCCTCTTATTAAGGATTTTTCTAAGCAGACCATGTGCTGGCTGGACTACTTAGTATCAGCTAATAATGTCCTGCGCCAGGAACTTCATTACATCAGCACATGGTCGTCTCTGTGGTCATTGCAAACATTAGATTGAAGGACAGCTTTTAATTTTTTATATCTTTATGATTACTTAACACTGGGCTGGTTTGTAGGTGTTGAATCATAATTAGAGTTTCAGTGTATGGATGCAGTTGGAACATCCAAAAGGTTCTGATTGAAGGCAATCCCATGAGGTGGACTGACCAATACTCACGCTCAGCATGGCTGTAAGATTAAAAATCATCTTTCACAACTTTTAAAATCATTAGAAGTATTAATAAAAACATTTCAGTTTGGGATTAGGATTTATAGAAGTTTGAGAAGTTAAAAGATTTATTTATCTCAAAGTTTGGGTTGGTGGAAGGTGCAGCACGACTTATACAACTTATTAACCCCCACCACCTACTTTCCCCTTTAAAGCTCCCAGAATCAAGCAGTGTCCCAAAAAGGAGAAGAACCATTTAAAGACAAGGAATTTTAGTTAACATTTTGTTAAATATAATAATAGTAATTTTTGATTTAAAAAAACCCAGGTAAAACACTTTTTAATTTCCAAGAATTGCTCAAATACAGCACCTGCAAAAGTAACAATTCCCCTAAAGCAGGGGTTCCCAACCCAGTCCTCAAGTACCCCCTAGAAGTCCAGGAGTTAGGGATTTTTTTTTCTTTTCTAAAAACAACTTAGACACAACTTGGTAATCCCTAAATCCTGGACTGTTAGGGGGTACTTGAGGACTGGGTTGAGAGCCATTGCCCTAAAGGGAAAATAAATAATTCCAAAGCATTTAAATACACCATGTTTCCATCCAGGTTAACACTTTTAATTTATTTTTCCATCGTCTTTTTAATTATTTTCTGATTAGGAGTGAAATAATTAAATAATTTCACTTTATAATATCTGAAAAATATAAACTGAATATTTTATTATTAATAATATTGTTAAATATAGACAAATGTATATAATGAGATCAGAAATAAAACACCTCAGTCTAACATTTGTCGAGCACAGAAAATTACTTCCGTAATGTAAGCAGGAGCTGTTAAATCAAGATTTAACACAGATCAACACTGTCACTTACTCAATGCTAATTACATTTCAGAATTTTCCAGATGATGATGTTGCCTGCTGGTGCTTGAAATTAGTGGTATTCTGAGGAATGAAAATCATCTCTAACGAGTCCTGTTTTTCATCAGGATGCATGGAGAGATCATTGGTGTTCTGAATGTTCTCCAGACATCTTCCGTTTAATGTCTGTACCCTGTATCTCTTCAGGAGAGTCACAAGAATTGCTTTCATCATCACCATTGCTATGTATTTCCCTGCGCATGCTCGCGGACCAAATCCAAATGGCTGGAAGTAACGATAAGGAACCTACAGCAATTAGGGGAGAAAGATAATCTCTTATGAAAAATGAAAGGTGTATGGAATATGTCTAATTACATAAAATATCCATAATTGAATCATCAATTTAAAAAAAAAAAAAAGTATTAAAATATCTAACTGAAATTTTTTTAAATTATTTTGTCTGTATGTTATTTGCCATTATACACTGAACAAATTTTTTAAACGCAACATTTTTGTTTTTGCCCCCATTTTTCATGAGCGGAACTCAAAGATCTAAGGCTTTTTCACAAAAGGCCTATTTCTCTCAAATATTGTTCACAAATCTGTCTAAATCTGTGTTAGTGAGCACTTCTCCTTTGCTGAGATAATCCATCCACCTCACAGGTGTGGCATATCTAGATGCTGATTAGACAGCATGATTATTGCACAGGTGTGCCTTAGGCTGGCCACAATAAAAGGCCACTCTAAAATGTGCAGTTTTATCACACAGCACAATGCCACAGATGTCGCAAGTTTTGAGGGAGCTTGCAATTGGCATGCTGACTGCAGGAATGTCCACCAGAGCTGTTGCCTGTGAACTAAATGTTCATTCATTCATGAAATTAATGAATTTGTAACTACATCCAACCGGCCTCACAACCGCAGACCACGTGTAACCACACCAGCCGAGGACCTCCACATCCAGCATCTTTACCTCCAAGATCGTCTGAGACCAGTTTCCCAGACAGCTGCTGCAACAATCGATTTGCATAACCAAAGAATTTCTGCACAAATTGTCAGAAATCGTCTCAGGGAAGTTCATATGCATGCTCGTCATCCTCATCGGGGTCTCAACCTGACTGCAGTTCGTCGTCGACTTGAGTGGGCAAATACTCACATTCAATGGCGTCTGGTGCTTTGGAGAGGTGTTCTCTTCATGGATAAATCACGGTTTTCACTGTACAGGGTAGATGGCCGACAGTGTGTATGGCATTGTGTGGGTGAGTGGTTTGCTGATGTCAACGTTGTGGATCGAGTGGCCCATGGTAGCGGTGGGGTTATGGTTTGGGCCGGCGTATGTTATGGACAATGAACACAGGTGCATTTTATTGATGGCATTTTGAATGCACAGAGATACCGTAATGAGATCCTGAGGCCCATTGTTGTGCCATTTATCCACGACGGTCACCTCATGTTGTAGCATGATAATGCACTCCTCATGTTGCAAAGATCTGTACACAATTCCTGGAAGCTCAAACCATCCCAGTTCTTGCATGGCCAGCATACTCACTGGACATGTCACCCATTGAGTATATTTGGGATGCTCTGGATCGGCGTATACGACAGCGTGTTCCAGGTCCTGCAAATATCCAGCAACTTTGCAAAGCCATTGAAGAGGAGTAGACCAACATTCCACAGGCCACAATCAACAACCTGATCAACTCTATGTGAAGAAGATGTGTTGCACTGCATGAGACAAATGGTAGTCACACCAAATACTGACTGGTTTTTGGACCTCCCCCAGACTCTTCCAAATACAGTTTAGAGTGGCCTTTTTTGTGGCCAGCCTAAGGAACACCTAGGCAATGATCATACTCTCTAATTAGCATCTTGATATGCCACACCTGTGAGGTGGGTGGATTATCTCGGCAAAGGAGAAGTTATCACTAACACAGATTTGGATAGATTTGTGAACGCTATTTGAGAGAAATAGACATTTTGTGTAAATAGAAAATTTTTTAGATCTTTACGTTCAGCTCATGAAAAATGGGGGCAAAAACAAAAGTGTTGTGTTTATGATTTTGTTCAGTGTACATCCACACTGTATAACTATAAAGGGCTGTGGAATATGTAAACAATAAAAAAAGTGAAGTTAGATGAGAAGCTCTCATTAGTAGGTTCTATAAAACCTCAGCTATATCGTCCTTTGAAGACACAAAACGTGTTCAGTTGTTCTGGTGCGTGGTATGTCTCTCTCTATTAATCCCCCTTATGCACTTTTCTCACTTACTTTTTTCTCTACTTACCTGACACAATACACATTGTTTGTCTGAATATTAACATGTTTAGAAAGTAGACATTGGTCCAGGCACTTAAACTGAAATAAAAAAACAGGTTTATTGGAGCAGTATACAAGCAACGTTTCAACCCTCACAGGAACTTAAGCTCAACTGAGCTTGAAAAAAATCCTGTGAAGGTCAAAATGTTGCTTGTATAATGCTCCCATAAACCTGCTTTTTTTTATTACAGTTTAAGTGCCTGGACCAATGTACACTTTCTAAACTGTTAAGTGGGGTTCGGCGTACCTCTGGTCCATTTGTCTCTTGGGGACCAAGGGAGTGTGGTGTCCTCTGCACTACCGAAAACTGAATATTAATATGGACATTTAATAAAGATAATGATTATTTGTGATAACTCCTTTGCATTATTTACATTAGTGGAGTGCAATATTGTAGTATGTATGTATGTATGTATGTATGTATGCCTTTTTTCCCTTTATACCTCATGTTTTACTAATCTGCTTGTTTTCTGATATATTTCTCTATAGACAAAAAGAAAAAAAAAAACATGAAAGATATAACTCCTTATCAGCTGAAACCCAAGATACACATAACCCATAAATTTATGAGAAATAAACAGTAGAAGAAATGTTCCAGATCTGGGAAATTTAAAGTTAGATTTCCCAGATATGATACGTATACATTGGTCTGTGTCAGTGCCAAATGGTGCATAGTTCAGGTCACAAAAATGACACAAATGGGCGTAGGATGATCTAGCACTCAGATTGACTCCAGAATGTCGGTGGAATGGAGGCAAAGAATAATCTGCTTCAAACACTATGCTGGGATAGACGTTGCATAGGAGATAATTGGTGGTGGTCTGCTGCAGGATTGCATCAAGAATTATGCACTGTTACAGCTGGACTGTCAGACTATCATTAGCATTATACGTTTTACTGCTCTAACACACTCATATTTGTTTTCAGCGATGTCTCATGTGTACAATAATACCCCCATGTACAGGTTTTATGGTACTCATGTACAGGGTTTATGGTATTTTAGAAAACAACAGGGTCAAATAGAAGACATTACCATTTTGGTTTTTACACATTAAAATTTGACAGATTAATTATGTTGCCACATCCCAGGACTGAGAATTACCCCCTCTATTCTTATTTTTGTATGGTGTACTATGAACCTGTGGAGAACAGAGTTGGGCTTGAGCACCTAAAAAGTATAAATTATTTGGACTCTGTGTTGTTGAGATATTTTTAGTGAGCCCTCCTGTGTAAATATTTCTCAATGAAGGAGGTGACTGGCACTTGGCAGACCCAGGCAAGTTGTCAATCCATTAGGTTTGACTATTTATCCTAGGAGGATGTAAGGTCACTCCTGGCACCATAACCACTAAGGCATATTGTAGTGGTTATGGTGCTTGGAGTGTTTCTTTTAGATAGCATTTCAAAATATTCTGTGTAGTCATCCCTGGTTCCATATGTGGACCAACAACTAGTAGTACCATTAGTACCATTAGTACCCAGAGGGCTGTGGTGTGATGATTAAAAGTTTATAAAAAAAGTATTTCAATATTACTTATTTGTTCAGAATTTTTTTTTCTTTATACAATTGCATTAAGAGCTATATAAGAGCATATAAAATAAAAATCAAATGCTACATATTCTATTTGACATATAGTAAAGACAAAGGCCAGCTGTTTTGTATCCTCATTACCTAGTGTAACATGATTAAAATAAAACAGTGGAAAGAATTGGATGGATCTGTATAATACTGCAGACTGAATTAAAGCACAGAGCACACTATACGTAGTACGCTGGTTCAGACCACCACTGAATATACAGTGATTAGGCTTCTCGTTGACAGAAAGTTAATATTTTACTTTTAAATTAAAGTCTCCAAGATTACCATGAACTTGACAGTGATTATTTTAATATTGAAGATTAAACATCATCCTAATCCTACTTAAAAATTTTAAAATGCAACATTGCAAAGCAGGCACCAGCTATTTGCCGTTTCTATAGGTATCTGAGATTTTGCCTACCCATACTGCTGATCATAGGTAGGAAACCTTCAGCACTCCAGATGTTCTTGAGTACTTCTCCTATAATGCTCTTGCAGCCATAATACTGGCAAAGCATCAAGGGAGATGTAGTCCATGACATCTGGGGAGCTGATGGTTGCCTACCCCTGCTGTAGATAATTTAGAAAACAGAATGAATGGCACTAATACAATATGACTTCCTTGAAGTCAAACAGTCTGAGGTACACCTTTAGCTTCACAAGGCCACAGTGGACAAGACCCTCAAATGGCTGAGTGACAGCAGTTTTATTCCACACATGAAGAAGGCAATTCTTGTTGCGTGGAATAAAACTCCTTTCACTCATCTGTATCTATAGCTGAACGTACCGTCTTCTGAAAATTTTCCAAGGAGAATTCATTTGGTTTCGGAAAATATTCAACACGGTGCATGCGTCCCAAGTTTAAAATTATGTTAGTGCCTTTCTTTACGTAATAACCATCAATGACATCATCTTCCAAGGCTTTGCGCATAACCAGGTCAACCACAGGCTGGTACCTCATGCTTTCATAGATGAAGTTTTCGAGAACCTTCAGGTTTTGCATATCACTACTTTGCACCTCTCTGTCACCTAATCGATGACATAACAGAAAAGAAACAATTCTTTAAATAATTTGCTTCTATAATGACACGGAACATTTTAAAATTTCTTGCAAAAGCCCAATTTAACATGACCTAGGGGGATAAATGCAATCCACTGGTCCCTTCCTTGTTAAACACAGTAGCTTAGTGGCCTGTTCATAATCAGTATCTTACACCAAAGGAGATCTTCCCTATTACCGTATTTATAACACGCACCTCATTTTAAGAGGGAAATTTCAGGGAAAAAAAACTTAAAGAACCACTATAGTGCCAGGAAAACATACTCGTTTTCCTGGCACTATAGTGCCCTGAGGGTGCCCCCACCCTCAGGGACCCCCTCCCGCCGGGCTCTGGAGAGAGGAAGGGGTTAAACACTTACCTTTCTCCAGCGCCGGGCGGGGAGCTGTACTCCTCCTCTCCTCCTTGCTCGCGATGTCATCGGCTGAATGCGCACGCGCGGCAGGAGCCGCGCGCGCATTCAGCCTGTCGCATAGGAAAGCATTTACAATGCTTTCCTATGGACGCTTGCGTGCTCTCACTGTGATTTTCACAGTGAGAAGCACGCAAGCGCCTCTAGCGGCTGTCAATGAGACAGCCACTAGAGGCTCTGGAGGCTGGATTAACCCTCAGTATAAACATAACAGTTTCTCTGAAACTGCTATGTTTATTAAAAAAAAGGGTTAATCCTAGAGGGACCTGGCACCCAGACCACTTCATAAAGCTGAAGTGGTCTGGGTGCCTAGAGTGGTCATTTCAAATAAAGAACTTCTTACCCCCCTTTCTTACTCCCCTCTCTTCTTACTTCCCCTTCCCCCTCTTACCCCTTCTTACTCCCCCTCCCCCTCTTCTTACCCCCCTTTCTTACTCCCCCACCCCTCTTCCTTACTTCCCCTCCCCTCTTACCCCTTTCTTGCTCCCCCTCCCCCCCTCTTCTTCTCCCACCCTCTTCTTACCCCCCTCCCCCCCTTTCTTTACTCCCCCTCTTCTTTACCCCCTCCCTCTTCTTACCCCCCCTCTTCTTGCCTCCTCCCCCTTCACCTCCCCCTACTCTTATTCCCCACTCCCCCCCCTCTCTTATTCCCCACTCCCCCCTCTCTTCTCCCCCCCTCCCCTCTTACTCCCCCCTCCCCTCTTCTTACCCCCTCCCCTCTATTCACCCCCTTCCCCTGTAGCGTGGACGAGCCACAGTGATAGGAAGGTGCACGCTCAGTGTGCACCTTCCTGTCAGTCCGACCGGGTACAGGAAACAGAAACTCCTGTTCCGCGCGTGCACCTTCCTATCACTCCGGCCGGCCACCGCGGACAGCAGAGCGGCTCGGCCACGCTACAGGGGAGGTGAGTACCAACTGCAGCCGCCTGAGCGCTCTTGATAGAGCGCTCAGACGGCTGCAGTATTTAAAGGGCCGGCGTATAACACGCACCCACAATTTCTCCCCTATTTTCAGGGAGAAAAAGTGCGTGTTATACGCCGATAAATACGGTATTTATTTGATAATTAATTATGATATATTTGTTTTGTTTGGAGTTCATGTTAGTTGGCAAACTGGATGTAGTAATATAATGTCATGTAATGGTTTAGATTTTTCCACTATTAATGCGATCACTGCTTATTTAAATGAAACACCCCCGAGGTATACATTAGTGATGTTTTGTGTCATTGAATATGAAATTAAAACAAGGACACTGCTAATGTGTAAGCCATCCAGTTGATTTGATCTGGCACGTGCTGACTGCTGTAAGGCACTTTAGAGGTCGGGCAAAGTCACATTTCATCGTTTAACTATGTAAAGTGCTGCTAACATTAAAATCTTCTTTGTTTCTTTAATAGATAAAAAACTTATATTTACAGAACTCCTCGTGTGACAAAATGCCTTTTTTTTGCCTCTTTTGTTTTGTTAATTACATATTTTGCTTTTTTCCCCCTGCAACTCTCACAGTTGATGTGTGTTGAAGGGGCCATTGTGACTTTTTATTTAATAAGCATGCAAGTTGGCATATAAGTTTTTATAATTTATTTTCCATGAGTCAATATTAATAACTAGAATCTCCAACAATCGATATCATCTGAGTGGCTCTAGATAAACAACAAACATCTATATATTGTCAAAGACTTGGTTAACTCATCATGGCTTTGAATGCCTGACAATTGTCACTTAAGTAAATAACCCTGCATGTGCATTTTAGTTTAACTTTCTTGTGAAATACTACCAGTAATGGCTTTTGTAGAAGATGAGTGGATCAGAAAAAGGAACATGGGTGTTTTCCATGTTTCAATAATGGTTTAGCCTCTAATATTTGCTCACCTGTAACACTGTGGATTTCTTTCCTTATCACCTCTTCAATTTTTGGATGCTGTGCAATGAGAACTAACATGAAGTAGAGTGAAACAGATATGGTGTCAGGGGCTGCAATAAGCATTTCCAAGATGCACTGGTTGACATTTTCAGCTGTAAGCTCCCCATGGCTCTGTAAAAAAAAAAGTTTATAAATTATTTTTTTTCTTTTTGCAATGCAGAGTATGTTATGAGAGGGATACTCAAAGTACCATAACCACTACCGTTCATTAGAACATTTTAACATCAAAACCGGACTCTTCCTGGCACATACATGGCACGTACTCTCTGCTGTTATACTGGTAAAACCAATGCACTACTTACACATTCTAAACAGCAAAGCCATCGAAACTTACACAGCACTGATAGACTAAGAGAGCTGCTCTGGCCTATGACTGTTGTCCAAGGTTCGACGAAGTTGCACTTGGTATCATAATTAGTGCTTCTACAGAGGTGGTGAGTGCAGAAAAGACCCCATTTCTTTGTCAAACTGCTCCAAAACAGTTAATCAAATTAGCCCATCTTAAATATTTACATATATTATAAACAGAAGAAGATTGTGACCTGATATTTGGGACTTGATTTAAACATATGTACACATTATTTTTTTTTATCTGACTCAAACATGTAGCAGTTACTATAAATAATAAACTTTTTATTTTACAGAACTCTTAAATGGATAAAATGTGATTCACAATTAAAACAAAAAAAAGTATAAACTAATAGTTAAAGTCAGCAAGTTCTGAATATGTGAAATGTGTAACAATTAAAGCGATATAATTGGTAAATAGTGAGCTGAGTTACTGAGTTAATCTTATAAACCAAAATACAAAAAAAAAATTAAAATAAAAATCAGCTGTATTGGGGGAAGGGGGGACGGTGGACATTCAACTCAGGTGGAGTGGGGAGTTTTGCCAGAATAACGAATTTTAGGTACATTTTGCAACTCTGTTAATTGACCTCAGCTCACTGTTTAGTAAATGATTTGCGTAATATTTATACTTATGTTTTATATATATATTTATATGTTACATACATGCTCCCAATTCAGTACTCATCATGCCATCACTATATTCAAGCAGCACATGATATTTTATACTATTTATAATGAATGTGCCTAATTTAAATTCTAATACCGCACACCTGGGCAAAAATCAGTTCTGATGCAAAATCCATATCCTTTTCCAGCTTCTCTAATGTTGACAGCTCTTGGCGTTTCCGGGCAATTAAAATTTCTAAAGCATCTTTTAAATCATTCCTGAAAAGAAATTATAGCTTTATTTGAAATATATGTAAATGTCTCATTTTCAGTAAAATATTTCGGAGTTGGTATTGTCTCGATAGTAAACGGTGGGTAATTGTCAACCAACTCCTAAAATCCAGGCCAAAATTGCCTAGCTGGAAAAACTTTTTCGTTGTTTTTTGTTAAATTTGCTGCATTGTTCTACATTTTGTAAGTCAGTGGACAACACACAAACAGGGTTTATTCACTAAAGTTTGAATTATATATTTTAGGATACAGTAATCAAACCAAAACATGAAGAATTTTCCCAGTTTTTCTAATCTGGTCTAAATTTTACATTTTTAATCTGAGTACTTACGCAGACTTTTCGTACTTCCTATATAGCCAGGAAATTTTAAAGAATATATCTGGTTTCAGTAGCAGCGCTTGCCAAGCATCAAAGTATTTCTGGATCTTTAGAACAATTTCATTTTCTGAAAATAACAATAAACAACAGGTATATATTATACAGGGAGTTGGTAACATTTAGTAGTATTAGTTTCTCTTTTTAGTATTTTACATTTTTCTATTTTTAAAAAAAAAATGTTGTAGATTTTTACATTTAATGTTATTTTTCACACCTGACAAATACATATTTGTTAAATATAGGTACAAGTAAATAGAAATAATTATTCTGGGAAGTGATAGTTCCCCTTTAAGAGTTTTTATATAGTATGAGATACCATATCCAGCATGTTTTCCAGGACACGTGTCATTTTTACAAATTGATTGACAACATACAGAAAGAGTTGCCCTAGAGTATGTAGAAGTCACATGCTGCCGGTAATAAATCAAGTGATAAATCAATCAGTAATTCTGCAGCATATACATTATCAGTAATACAGAGTAACATTGCCATGTGCTGTCAATCAACATGATGAAATTATGTGTCCTAGAAAACATGGTGGATATGGCAATGCTATATATAGTGCTCTTATCCAGAGCACTTTACAAATTTACAAATTATGCAAAAAGAACATTATATAGGCAGGAGCAGGGCCGATTCCTGGGGGGAGGGTGGGTGCGGACTGCCCAGGTGCTCAGGAGATAGGTGGGGTGTTTGACGCTAGGCTCTGCCCCTCAAGTAGATCCTGTCTCTTCTCATAAGGCTCCGTCCTCACGAGTTCCGACAGCTATAGGATGGGCAGGGCCTAACTAACAGGAGGGGGTGGGATCTACCTGAGGGAACGTCTAGCACCGAACACACCTCCTATCTACAGAGCACCTGAGCAGTGCACACTCCCTCAAGTTTAGTCCTGGACCAGGAGGATATATAATAAGATACACTGATACTAAAGGAGCCAGTAAGCTTACAATCTATGATAATTAATCAGATATCAGCTATATTTCGGCGCTTGTTTGAGAACATGTTACAGATGCCTTACCATCTAAAGGAACTCTTAGGAACAGCTTATTGGAAGTATCTAACATAATTAGCCTGATAAGCTTCAGTACATTTATATTTCCCAATTCATTCGTTACATCTCCCAGTTTCTCAAGGTAACGATTGGTTGAACTGATGCAGTGCTCTGTGGTTTGTATAAGCCCAGGTCCAGATAATGCTGAAAAGAAAAATGTTTATATAGTGTAATTCAGTGATTTATAAATTATAGGCATAATTTAACATAATCCGCTATACATTTAGTTATTTGTAGTTATGTGCATAGGTAAACACTTTTAAAACACAGTAACATTATTAAAGGAACTCAAATGGGCTCTTGCGAACATGTGGTTGTTGATCCACTTTGAATAGGTGAATTTATCCTTTATTATAGCATACAATGTTTCTATCGCAGCAAATATGTATTGTGAATTAAATAGGCGTATGTGTATGTTCCAGTAAAACAAAGATCTTCACAAGCACTATTATGATAAAGGATAACATAATTAATTTAAATGGCTTATTGGTATTTTAAGTATTCTGCAAAGAGTTTTATGCATTCCCCCACCCCACCATTTTTCTTTTAATATTGGAACATACCCATAATAGTATAACGTTGTGCATTGTATATTGTTTATACTGGATTTTTCCGTATCAGGAACTGAGTGCATGAATCTTCACAATTGCACTTAAAGGGATACTATCAACACCAAAAGAACTTTAGCTTACTTAAGCTATTTTAGTATATAGATCATGCCCCTGCAGTCTCCTTGCTCAATTCTCTACGATTTAGAAATTAAATTACTTTTGTTTCTGTTTATGCAGCTCTAATCACACCTCCCCTGGCAGTCAGTCACACAGCCTGCATGAAATTTTTATTTTTTTATTTTCAATCAGATGTAACAGCACAGTGTTTTACTTCAGAAGTGTTTATCCGGTGTTCTGTTAATTGAACTGTAATCATAAACAGGAGGCTCCTGCATGCTTTAGCAGGCAACACACATTTTTTAATTAAACAAAATGTGCAGTAAAGGATGTTTTAACTTTAGAACTCTCTTTACAGGAAATGGGTGGGGAGACTATGTAGATCACTTGCAGGGGAGGCATGACTAGGACTGCATAAACAAAGTGATTTAATCATAAATGGCAGAGAATTGATATTTCAGATGGCACGGTCTATACACCAAAATCATTAAGCTAAAGTTGTTTTGGTGCTCATAGTGTCACTCTAGGTTAAATGAAAAAAGTAGCGGTAAATTGATGTTTCCCATATGCACTCATAGATTGTAAGCTCATTTGAGCAGAGCCCTATTCACCTCTAAATATCCCATTTCTATAATTGTGAGGTACTGTGGAATTTGTTGGTGCCATATAATTGCTAATAATAATAATACAAATATATTATTTGATAACATTAAGTAGGAAACATAGAAGAAGGCAAAGTATTGACTTGAAAACGACAACTATAAAATGCTCTCGACAAGAACATGTCATGACCTTTTGACACATAAAAAAAAAATGAATTGTGCTAACAATTTAATAGTTTGACCTTAATGGGTTTTACAGTTATGCCACTGGCACAGCTGTAAAGAAAATTAAATTTGAGGTTCCGAGTGACTAGGCACTCTTCTTTGCTATTCTTCCAGGTGACATAATGTCATGCAATAACTAAGACTTTTAGGATGCCAGTCATGTTATTCTGTGGTGAATGGCCTGTGTTCAACCTCTCCAACTACTCTAGGAGAGATATTGTGTAAGGAAGAAGAGGAATTTCACGTAAGTTAATCATTTAAACTATAGACTTGCTGGAATTTTCACCAGCACAATATATAGATTTAACACATACCTACCTGAATATGAACTTGTTGCCCATATGACCCGGGGATGAAAAGGTCTCTTTAAATAGTGCAGCTTGAGTTTTCAGGCTGTTGATGTAATTTTCTCTTATTGTGGGGTTCTCTGACTCAAGCATTTAAGGAATTAGCAGTGTGTATGATTTGCGAGGATTCCAATTAAAACAAAAAAAAAATGAAGAGAATACTATTAACGCTGCCAACCTACAGATGCTGGGGCAAGCTATCTGTAATGTCTCCCTCTGGTTTGTATGTGTTATATCTTTGCACCACTGGGAGCTTGCTTCACAATGACCTCTCACAGCGTATATCACTCACAGTGTATTAGTTCTAATTAATTCTTGTGAGAGAACTAGAATTCCTCATTAGGAAGAAATCACTCATGTTCCTTTCTGTTTAGTAAAACCCATGAGGGAATTAACTACATAGTAGAGCAAACCAAAGAAACAAAACAATTAAATTTTAGATAGTTCAGTGACAACCATTAAAATTCCATAAATATGGTAAAAACTGAAATCATGACTAAAAGTGATGTACACACCTTCAGAGCACTCAAACGACATTAGCTGAGCTCCGCACCCCTTGAAAACTTCCACCCCACACAGAGAATGCTCTGGTTACTGCTACACTTCTAAAGTAAAATACACACATGTCTAAATAACATTAGATATATTGTTGGTGGTGCATGGGACCCCTAAATAACCAACGATGTGTCTCTGTGGAAAAAAAAGGTTGGTATTCCCAGTGATCTGCTAATAACTGAGAAGAAACATAGAAACATAGAAACATAGAATGTGACGGCAGATAAGAACCATTCGGCCCATCTAGTCTGCCCAATTTTCTAAAAACTTTCATTAGTCCCTAGCCTTATCTTATAGTTAGGATAGCCTTATGCCTATCCCATGCATGCTTAAACTCCTTTACTGTGTTAACCTCTACCACTTCAGCTGGAAGGCTATTCCATGCATCCACTACCCTCTCAGTAAAGTAATACTTCCTGATATTATTTTTAAACCTTTGTCCCTCTAATTTAAGACTATGTCCTCTTGTTGTGGTAGTTTTTCTTCTTTTAAATATAGTCTCCTCCTTTACTGTGTTGATTCCCTTTATATATTTAAATGTTTCTATCATATCCCCCCTGTCTCGTCTTTCCTCCAAGCTATACATGTTAAGATCCTTTAACCTTTCCTGGTAAGTTTTATCCCGCAATCCATGAACCAGTTTAGTAGCCCTTCTCTGAACCCTCTCTAAGGTATCAATATCCTTCTGAAGATACGGTCTCCAGTACTGTGTACAATACTCCAAGTGAGGTCTCACCAGTGTTCTGTACAATGGCATGAGCACTTCCCTCTTTCTACTGCTAATACCTCTCCCTATACAACCAAGCATTCTGCTAGCATTTCCTGCTGCTCTATTACATTGTCTGCCTACCTTTAAGTCATCAGAAATAATCACCCCTAAATCCCTTTCCTCATATGTTGAGGTTAGGACTCTATCAAATATTCTGTACTCTGCCCTTGGGTTTTTACGTCCAAGATGCATTATCTTGCACTTATCCACATTAAATGTCAGTTGCCACAATTCTGACCAAGAACCAGTTGAAGGCCTGATATATGTCCCATTTATGAGTGCTGAAAGGTGTGTTGAGTCTAGACCTATCTCCTCCTACACCTTCTACCAAAAGCACTAATTTCTCCCACTACCAGATAATTTTTTTCTGTCCCACACCTTCTTATGGCACAGCCTGGGAGCAGAACATAATTTATATCTTAAGCAGAGGTTCCTATAGAGACTTGCATCGCATTCATAAACCCCTGACGGTAACATCGCCTCTGGTAGTCCGGTGTCCAAGTAGGGCAGATAAAGGTGAGTTTACTTACCTGAACCTGTCCCTCACGGGAGTCGCCACCTTGGTCCAGCATGGTCCTCATCGGTGCTGACGTCAATGCTGTACTCTCGAGCATGAGTAAGAGTACAGCATTGAGGTCTATAGGGGGTTCCTGCGAGACCCAGCCAATTCCCTACAGCAGTCACTGGTGATGGCTTCATGGATGGACACTTACGCTCTGCCTTGTGTCAAGAAAATTCAAGTGGAGATGAAATAGAGAGACATAGTAGTCCCTACTTTGTCTCTATATATCTCTTGACTGGGTTGGAATTTCAGTGAAATTTCATCACAGTCATCATGAGTATTTTGTAAAGATTTTAGTGGCACTTTAAATTAAGATGTGCTTAAATAGCTACTTTTAGCTGTAAGCCAGAAATACATAAGAGACTTGTATGCATTGCTTAATCGGAAAGTCCTACCCTGCCAAGGATTGAGGTAATAACTGCATACATTTGTTATAAACATAACAAGTGCTAGGTAGGCAATGTTTCGATCTGCTATAGCAAGTGCTTAACATTTAAAAAAAATATATGTACCTTTTGTAAAATATGGACGGATAATTTTCCATAGAGATGGGTTGCTATTAAATATTATCCCGTTTTCATCCATGCCAATGCATTTTAATCCCAGTTTACTGCCAAACCTTGACACATAGTGACTGTGTTTCATCACGTGACACATTGCAGAGGACCTGAGGGATCAAATACGTAAATACAATTTGCTGAAACAAATATAAATGACATTTGAACATAAAAATCACATTGCTAGTTCTAGTTTTACATTGCACCCTTCATAAGAAGTTAGTACGATATAAAGTATGATGCTTTGTCTTTGTTTATTATGTTTTTTTTTTTCTTTTTTTGTACTTGAGATTAATTATGTTATAATGAAAACCTCCATCAAACATAACAAACAATGAAGCACCTATTGCTATTCATATAAAATGCATACTTAAACTATATCTCATCCTAAATATATTTCTTAGTGGATAAAATTGCATGTTTACAGTTTAAACCCAAGATAATGAGTGTTGTCTGTGTTTATTGTTGTGAAGATTGTGTGCTGCCAAGTAGTGCACACTGGGATTTAACGTTGCATGTTGGCAGATACATCCTGTCAGAGATGGCATTTATAGTGTTTTCTCCATTCGATGACACCTGCTAGCATGGGGTTAACAGTATCCAGAAAGCATGTGGGCGAGGCACATCTATGTCAGAACAAGCTTGTTAGCATCAAAACAATCATCCTCAACTAAAAATGCGACTCAAATACAACCGTAAGGGAATTAACTAAAACGGCACTGTCATGCTAAACCTACCTTTCCCCAATCGCTTCCTATTTTCTCTCCCTCTCTCAGGATCTGTTCTGCATTTCTTCCTGTCTGCTCTAGTTTTCTTTAAAACACAAGACAAAGTTGAGACTACTTTGTCTTATGGAGGTTTCCTACACCTGACCATCTATGACCAGCGGAGGAGCAAAATGTGCTCCATTTCCTGTGTTTAGAGAAATTCTCCTACAATTCTTAACTTACCTCCATGTCCTCGCGATGCCTCCTTTCCGTATTCCCGAACGCTGTCAAAACGACAGAATTTCGCCCTAACAGAATTAGAGCAGTTCGTCCATTTGTGTTAGGACGAAATTCAGGACTTTTGTTTGGTTGTGGCTGCTCACTGTTGCTAGTTAATACATGCCCCATCATGGGGCAATATTTTAGAAGGGGGAGGCTTTTTTTTTTTTTACGACAGTGAGCAGCCAGAGGCTGCTCACTGTTTAGTAGACATGCCCTTTCTCGCAGCATAGCGAGTAGGGGCATTCAGGAGATTTTAATCTCCCTTATGCTATTATGAGAGTCATATTGACTCCCATAGAATGAGGGAGGACATGGGGGGCTTAGGAAGTGGCAGGGAGCACTGCTCCCTGCCACTTCTACTTTTACATATTACAAGGAGGGAGCTACGCGCCGGTAGCTCCCTCCTTGTAATAAACCGAACTAACAAAGAGGTCTTCATTCATTCATTTGAAATTTCTATTCATTTATTCGTCTTTCTGACAAATGAATGAATAGATGAAATTCCTGTTTGAATGCCCAAGTGTTTAACAGTGACTTCATCTCCCCACACAAAGATGGCGGTGCCCTGGACCTAGGTCGGGGAAGAAAATAAAGATAAAAAAAATAGCTAATATTGGGGGTTTAGGGGCATTTGGGGGTGACTAGGGGGTCAATTAGATGTAGTGAAGTTGAGAGGAGGGTTAAAAAAAAGGATTTGTGCCACTTTAACGGATTCCCAGTAACATTATTAAAGGAACACTATAGGTGTTAGGAATACAAATCTGTTGCAGTTTCCCTGTCGCTAGTAGTATCTGGTCCTCCCCCATTTGGCACTGAAGGGGTTAAAACCCAGAGCCGAGGCTCCCTTGGCGCTGCTAACCTCTCGCCTGGAGATGCAATCACGGAGGAGACAGGGTCCAATCCTGTACTCCTCATAGAGGAGCATTGGGGGCCTAATCCTCATGTGTGGTGTGTGCCGTAACAGCAATTAAATTTTCCCATAGGAAAGCATTAAATCAATGCTTTCATATGTCGCTTTCACGTCATGTGATCGAGTTCTACACGGCCTGTGCCACATAATCGCCTCTAGTGGATGACAGTATCACAGCCACTAAATGATGTGTTAACCCTGCACTGTAAATATTGCAGTTTCTCATTGAGATGAAGTAGTCTGGATGACTATAGTGTCTCTTTAATGATGTCAAGTGGTTAACTTAAGAAACTCTATGAAACATAAACATTATTAAAAAAAATATCCACACAGGTCAATAAATCCAACTGTTCCCAAAGATGTAAAGTCACCCTAAACATATAGTCAATGTATCCATATCACTAAAGGGTGATCAATCAGCAGATGGTGAAGACATAAATGCTTTGAGATATTATATTATTAAAGATAATTTGAGATAATATATTGCGGGATAAAACTTACCAGGAAAGGTTAAAGGATCTTAACATGTATAGCTTGGAGGAAAGACGAGACAGGGGGGATATGATAGAAACATTTAAATATATAAAGGGAATCAACACAGTAAAGGAGGAGACTATATTTAAAAGAAGAAAAACTACCACAACAAGAGGACATAGTCTTAAATTAGAGGGACAAAGGTTTAAAAATAATATCAGGAAGTATTACTTTACTGAGAGGGTAGTGGATGCATGGAATAGCCTTCCAGCTGAAGTGGTAGAGGTTAACACAGTAAAGGAGTTTAAGCATGCATGGGATAGGCATAAGGCTATCCTAACTACAAGATAAGGCTAGGGACTAATGAAAGTTTTTAGAAAATTGGGCAGACTAGATGGGCCGAATGGTTCTTATCTGCCGTCACATTCTATGTTTCTATGTTTCTATATTATTGACCTATAGAGGGAGCTGTAACATTACAGATTTTTCATGAAAATGGTTGATTTTTTTTTGTTTACATTTATACAATTAGTATTATTCATTTCAGAAAATAATAATCTTTGGCTAGTATTATATATATATTTTTTTATATGTATACCATTATTAAAGTGTAAAAACAGTGCTACAAGTTTGTCTATGAGTCAAGATGCCATGTATGTTCAATTAAGATTGCCATTATATTTACAAATGTAAACAATAATAGATTTTGTTTACACGTACAATAATAGTCAATTGTTCTAGTCTATTATGATCATACGCTATTAACCAATCACTTAATATGTGTTAATATCATTACCTGTGTTATATATGATGAATTGTATTATTGGTATTTACAAACCAAACCATGTCCCTAACTCATACATTTTTTTTTTTTTAAAAAGCCGCACTGTTCTCCCCCAAGCTCTAAATACTGAACATTTATACTATTACAAGTTACAGCAGGTGTTTTTAAAAGGAATACACAATTTGGTGCTGAAAGGATGATGTTTGCTTGTATTTTTGGTTTTCTAAATTTGCTTAGTATATGTTGTTAGTACTTTTGTTATTTTTAAAAAATATCAAAATATAAATCAACATGGTATTTATAGAAAAATACAGGTAGATGCAAACATACAACATTTGTACTGCGCTCAAACTCACACTAGTAATGACCATAGTACACATCAACCCCAATACGTACAATAAAAATTAAAGAATAAAGTTATTTGCACACTATCCCTAATCCATGTGCATATTTAACCCCTTAAGGACACATGACATGTGTGACATGTCATGATTCCCTTTTATTCCAGAAGTTTGGTCCTTAAGGGTTTTTTAGTATCACTCTAGTGGCCAAGTTGAAGCTAACCTGCCACATCAAGACAAACCTCTTCTTATGTGAGTCCTACACTAACAATTCACCTTGCTACTTTCAGCTAAAAGGTAAAAAAAAAAATCTCTAATGAGACAGAGAGGGTTATTTCCCCCCATTTATTAACCCTTAGTAGTAAAAGAGTTGGACAGCAGTAACAGGCTGTGCTAAAAAAAACCATCTTACAGTGTATGGAGCATATATGGCTTTATTCAATGTGAGGCAAGTGTTTTTGCATGGCTATGCTTTTTTGTCAATTCTACCTCCAATTTGCAGCCATTTGTTCAGCACCAAAACCAGGGAAAATCTGTTAAGTAATGCGTCACACCGGCTTTATTGCCAGGATGACAGCATTTCAATGGAACTCCATTCCTATACTATCTAGCCAGCGCTAAGAGCGTAACGAGCTAGCATAGCAACCATAGTGCATATGCTGAGTTTGCTATATTTGGAGAGCAGAAAGAACGCATGGGGGAGGTGTCACTCATTGTCAATCAATTCTGTATGGAGTGAATGCTGATGAATTGATTGACAGGTGGGAGAGAGATTTTTATTTAAATATTTCTTTTTTTTCATACCCAATCCATATATTTGCTAGCAATTGTGAAAGCATAGTGTATAGGTAAAATTGTATACTCTTTGAGAAAAATAGGTTGTACGTGGCATGACCCTTTAAAAAGATTGAACAATTAGTAAAGTGAAAAAACTCACACCATCCCGGATCTCCTCAACTATCAGTAGGAGTACTCCAAAATATCCTGAGCTACTGTACCTTGTCTCTGCACACCCTTTCCCTGGGAAAACTTAATCCAGTTTGACTTTGTTTTTCATGTGTTGATGAGATAAACATGTATCTGCTTGCGTATTCAGACAGCTCCATCCTAACTCTCCTTTCTTTCACCGTATTAATAGACTAACCAATTTTTTTTGCAATTTCTTTGAAATTTTGTAACATTTTTTAATTAGTTCTGGTTATCTGAGACACCCCCTGAATATGAGATGTTTTTTCCAACACTGTTTAGTAGGTTGATCCCTCTGTATTTTTTGCTTTATTCTTACTGTTCATTGCATTCTGTTGGTACTTGAAACATAAAAAGTTAATATTCTGAAGATAAATAAGATTAAAATTCTTTGCTGTGTCTGTACGTAATTGTAATCTATTTGTCCGCCTGTATGTCCGTTCTTCCAACCAACCACACATCCGTCCATCCATCCATCTATCCATCCATGTCCTTTAGTCTACTACAAGTTTGTAATTATTCTTTGTTTCTTCGCTTGACCTTGACTTTAACACAGCTGGTGTTTATGGCTAGACCTGTCTGTTGCAGTATTAGTTGGCCACTAATCAATAAGGCTTTCTCTTAACCGAGATCAAAGCCTCGGGGGAGCAAAGTCAAATGAATAGTCAGTGGAAGAATTATTGGTAGCTCAATACTTTAAAGGTAATGCATCGATTTTTTGCTGTTATGTAACAATGACACTCACATTGGATTACTATTCTCATTTAGTTGAAGTTAAACATTTTTTTTTTTGTGTGAAAATTGGAAGTGCTGATTCTATATTGCTGAGAAAAATGAACAAACTATTAGAGTTTGTAAACTAATTTTAAATGGATACTATAGTGCCAGTAATACAAAGCTGTATTACTGGCACTATAGCTCCCTCTACCTCCCCTCTCCCCATCCCTTGCCACAGTATCCTAGCGCCAATGTCCCTTGGCACTAGGTCGTGGCTCCGCCTCCTCTGACATCCCTCGACGAGAGGGCGCTATTGAATCAATGCTTTCCTATGGGGAAATATCTGACACTGGATGTCCTCCAGTGACAGTTACTGGACCAAAAGTGTTTTAGGATTCAGGAGGCACCTCCAGTGTCTGTCTAGTAGACAACCACTTGAGGCAGACTTAGTGCTGTAATGTAAACATTGCAGTTTTACATAGCAGCACTAAGTGCAATAGGGACACTGCACCCAGACTACTTCAATTAACTGAAGTCGACTGGGTTCCTATGGTGTCCCTTTAAAGGAACACTTAAAGCACCATAACCACTGCATGTAGTGGTGCTTAAGGTGCCAGGAGTGCCCTCCCATGATAATTAAACAAACTGTTTCAAAACAGTTTGACAACTTTCTGCAAGACACTGGACTATGCTGGGCAATATAGGACTTAGATCAATATATGAGAGTGCTTAGCTGAACTTTCAGCCCATGACCTGACCCTGTACTGCAGGAATTTCCATCTGAAGAGGAGGTCAGCCCAGGTAAGTTGCCAAACTGTTCTCAAATACTGTAACCAGTGTGCAATGAAAAAAAATTAAACAAAATTAAACATAAACCTCAGTGATGGAACTACCACCGGTGTAGCTGCAACAAGGCCCACAAGCTCATTGGGTGGCCCATACACATGTGGTTATGTGTTATTTGTGTGTCTATATGTGTTATCTGTGTGTATGTGTGTGTCAGTGTGTGTGTACATGTGGGCATCTGTGCAGGGGCGGACTGAGAACCCTCAGGGCCCCATGGCAAAATAAATCAAGGGCCCCCTTACAGGCCCCACCCATACTCCGCAGCAAGCGCCACCCTTGTCCCGCCTCCATGTACCGCCTCCAGCCACACCCTACACAATCTTTAGACACAAGGAACAAAAGTGCAATAATCCCTTCGAGGCCCCAGTAGAGACTACAATTGAGGGCTAATGGGCCATGGAGGGGAATCTTTCTAGCAGAGGATATCTCAGTGTCCTTTAGAGAGTGTATTAGAAAGAATCCCCTCCAGGCCCCATTAGAGACTACAATGGAGTTTAATAGGCTTGGAAGGGGGTCTTTCTAACAGAGGCCAACTCAGCGTCCATTAGATAGCCTCTTCTGGAAACAGTCGCCGCCAGGCCCCAGTAGAGACTACAATTGAGGGCTAATGGGCCATGGAGCGGGGGGGTCTTTCTAGCAGAGGCTATCTCAGTGTCCTTTAGAGAATGTGTTAGAAAGAATCTCCTCCAGGCCGCATTAGAGACTACTATAGAACTAATAGGCTTGGAAGGGGGTCTTTCTAGAAGAGGCCATCTCAGCGTCCATTAGAGAGCCTCTGTTAGAAACAGTCGCCTCCATGCCCCAGTCGAGACTACAATTGAGGGCTAATGGACCATGGAGGGGGGGTTCATTCTAGCAGAGGCTATCTCAGTATCCTTTAGAGAGTGTGTTAGAAAGAATCTCCTCCAGGCCTCTTAGAGACTACACTCTGGTTCCTATTCACAATATAGCAACACATCATAGCTCGCTGATACCTAGGCCAAGTTGGCTCCTCTTACCTTAATTACTGTTGCTGGCTGGCAGTCTGTGGGCCTGCTGGAAGGCTGTGGGCTTGCTGGCTGTGGCTGGCAGGCTGTGGGCTTGCTGGCTGTAAGCTTGTGGCTTGCTGTAGGCCTGTGGGTTGGTTACTGGCCTGTGGGCTGGCTGGCTACTGGCCAGCCTGTAGGCTGGCTGGCTGGCCGGCCTGTGGGTTGGCTGGCTGGCTGGCCGGCCTGTGGGCTGGCTGGCTGGCTGGCCTATGGGTTGGCTGGCTGGCCGGCTTGTTGGCTGGCTGGCTGGCTGGCTTGCTGGCTACTGGGGCACTTGTAGATTATTTAAAGAAATAATCCATGCACTGTAACCACTACTGCTCTGTGTAGTGGTTATGGTGCCAGGAGGGAGAGGCCCCCCTCCCAGAGTGAGTAGTCAAACCGTTTAAGAACAGTTTGACAACTTACTTGGGGTCTGCTGGGATATGGGGCTGTAGCAGGGTATAGGAGCAGTGGTGCAGTGTGTGTGAAAGGTTCAGTGTGTGTGAGGGGGTGTAGTGTGTGAATGTGTAGGGTGTGTGGGGCAATGTGTGTATGAGGGGGCTGTGTATGTGTGTGGCAATGTTAGTATGGGGGGCTGTGTATGGGGGTCTGTGTGTATATGGGTGGGCAGTGTATGTGTGTGTGTGAGGCAATGTGTGTAAATGTGTATGGTGTGTGTGGGGGCAGTGTGTGTGTATGGGGGCAGTGTGTGAATGTGTATGGTGTGTGTGTGGGGGCAGTGTGTGATGTGTATGGTGTGTGTGTGGGGGAAGTGTGTTTATGGGGCTAGAGTTGACTCTCGCAAGAGCCGTAATGTTGCCATGGTAACCGCGGCAATGCTCTGTGGTCGCTCCCGGGTCCTCTCTTCCTCCCTCCCCTGCCTGCTGCCCGCACAGTGCCTGCGGACAAGGGAGGGGGGGCAATTGCCCCGTTGCCCCCCTGGATCCACCAATGATATATACAGCCCTTCTGTGTGCCTTTTTGTCTCCCCCCAGTCCCTCTGTATGTTTCTTTTATCCTCCTCACTGCTCCTGTGTCCATGTCTCCCCTCTCCTTCCCAGTCTCTCTTACCCCTCTGCCTCTTTCTCCCCCTCCCCTTGTGTGTCTCTCTCCTTTCTCCCTGTGTCTCTCTCTTCCACTGCTTCTTTCTCCCCCCTTTCCCTGTGTCTCTCTCTCCCCCACATCTCTCTTCCTCTCTGTCTCTTTCTCCCCCCTCCCCATCTCTTTCTCCCCCTGTGTCTCATTCTTCCCTCTCTTTCTCCCCCAACTCTCTATTCCCCCTCTTTCTCCCCCTGTGTCTCATTCTTCCCTCTCTGTCTCTTTCTCCCCCTCCCCATCTCTCTATTCCCCCTCTTTCTCCCCTGTGTCTCATTCTTCCCTCTCTGTCTCTGTCTCCCCCTCCCCATCTCTCTATTCCCCCTGTGTCTCATTCTTCCCCCTCTGTTTCTTTCTCCCTCCCCCCCGTGTCTCTCTATTCTCCCACTGTTTCTTTCTTCCCTCTTCCCCCTCTCTGTTTTATTTTCCCCCCTCCCATTTACCGACAGAAGTCAGAGGGGGCCGGCCGCGTTCCACACTGGAGCCCCCGGGCCAGGTGGCAGCCTCGCAGGTCCGGCGGCACTCCTGTCCTGTCACTAACGCTGAGGACGGAAGGAGGGAGGAGCATGTCTCTCTCTCATGCTCTTTGCGGTTCCCACATCCTGTGCTGGGAATTGTGGGAACCGCAAAGGAGCATGAGAGAGAGACATGCTCCTTCCTCCTTCCGTCTTCAGCATTAGTGACAGAACAGGAGTGCCGCCGGACCGGCGAGGCTGCCACCCAGCCCGGCGGCTCCAGCGTGGAAGGCGGCCGGCCCCCTCAGAGTGTGCCCACCCGGTGGCACCTACTTGCTTAGACCATTGGGCGAATCTGGCCCTGCCGCCGGGCCCCCTGATGGCGGGCCCCCCTCCCGGCCAGGCCCTCGGACCATGTGCATACATCCTAGCAATCAAATGCCAACTCTACGTACAAACAAATTCAAATACAAACAATAAACACACATACACCACCACTGCTTTCGAATAGCAACAAAACATACACACATACAATTGCATTCAAATGCCGACACAACACACAAATATATGCCTACATTAAAACACACAAAACATACTTACATTCAAACACAAACACTGCTCACAAATACAACTCTGCAAGGATGGGCTAACTCAGTGGTTCTGAGGAATACCATGAATCAACATTTAGTCAGTATCTCCACAGAAAGAGAATGCCATAATACTGTACTATTAATCTGCCTACTAAACATTTCACTTCTCTCCCCAGCCTTATCTCCCATCTATCTTCACTAAGCCCATCTATTTCCTCTTCTAATGTTTACAAATTTACGTTGTTAATACACCTAGCAATCATTCTTTACTTTGAATTGTAGGAGCCTTACCATAACCTGCTGCATAAATCTACCCAATTTTCATTTATCTTGAAAGCTAATGTCGCAGAGTCATCATAAGCTCTCATTCTTGTTTACCCAAGCCCCGAAGGCAGCAGTCACTCATATGCTATGTTCAACCATTTTACAGCATGGACAAGTATGTTTTCACTTTACCCATAACTAATATTATGATTTATATTTTTATTTCATAAATGTGGTTTTAACATCATTATATCTACTCTTTAATAAATATACTCTTCATTATTCCTTCAAGAACGACTTGGTATCATATATCTTTGCATCTTTACCGAAGTACAGTTGTGGAATGGAATAATGAGATTAACTTAAAAGGAATAAAATGTTGAAATTACAATGTGAATATCTTACTTGGTTATACGTTACGTGCAATGTAAGGTCTATTATAAAAAAAAAAGTCTAAATTTAAAAATAAAATAATAAAAACAGTCTTTCTCTACATACCTAAAAATCTTGCCAACACTTTGAAAATTGCAGAGTTCATATACATTTTATCCATTTGTCCAATTTTTACATACTCCCATTGCTTCACTTATATTTTTATAGCTCCACAAACATTCTCGTGTTATCCCTATACAATGCAATTTGACAACTTCCTTTTCAAAACGAGGAAAGGATAACATATTCCACTAGAAACAAAAGCATATGTTTGCAAATATGACAGCTATGGCCCTGACTAATACCAAATGTGAGAAGCAAGGCCAGTGCTTATCATAATATTGTGAAAGGCGATAAGTATAATGTTAATTATGTCATGGATGAAAGTTGATTATTAAAGAGATATACATCCTTCAGGAGAAAGAGATAGGGTTATAAAAAATATGAATGCAAAATGTAATCAAATCATGAACAAATACTGGAATATTCCAGAGAAATCAATGTTAATAAAATAATGGCATGAATGATATAATGCATTAATATATATGACATCATCTGTTCTCCGGTCACTGCTCAGCATTTTCCCTAAATCTCTGCCAGGGTTTTACGTTAGCTGTGTATCATGGGAATTGTAGTTATCATATATACTCAAGTATAAATCGACCCGAATATAAACCGAGGCCCCTAATTTTAGCACAAAAAAATGGGAAAACTTATTGACTCGAGTATAAGCCTAGGGTGGGAAATGCAGCAGCTACTGGTAAATTTCTAAATAAAATTAGATCCCAATAAAATTACATTAATCGAATATTTATTTACAGTGTGTGTATGTTTATGTAGTGTGTGTATATAATGAATGCAGAGTGTGTGTGTGTTTGTGTGTAGTGTGTGTGAATATAATGAATTCAAAATGTGTGTGTTTGTGTGAATGCAGTGTGTGTTTGTATGAATGCAGTGTGTATATAATGAATGCAGTGTGTGTATATCATGCAGCGTGTGTGTGTGTTTATATAATGCAAAGTGTGTGTGTATATAATGCAGCGTGTGTGTGTGTGTATATAATGCAAAGTGTGTGTGTGTATATAATGCAGCGTGTGTGTGTGTGTGTGTGTATATAATGCAGCGTGTGTGTGTGTGTATATAATGCAGCGTGTGTTTGTATGAATGCAGTGTGTATATAATGAATGCAGTGTGTGTATATCATGCAGCGTGTGTGTGTGTGTTTATATAATGCAAAGTGTGTTTGTGTATATAATGCAGCGTGTGTGTGTGTGTGTGTATATAATGCAAAGTGTGTGTGTGTATATAATGCAACGTGTGTGTGTGTATATAATGCAGAGTGTGTGTGTATATAATGCAGCGTGTGTGTGTATATAATGCAGTGTGTGCATATACTGCAGAGTGTGTGCATTATATGCAAACACACTCATACAAACACACACTTTGCATTATATATACACACACACACACACACAAACACACACTTTGTGTGTATATAATGCAGAGTGTGTGTGTGTATATAATGCAGAGTGTGTGTTTGTGTAGTGTAGTGTGTGTGTAAACTGGGTGGAGGGAGGGCATTTTTATTATTTTAATATATATTTTTTAGTATTATTTTAATATTTTATTATTTAATATTATTTTATTATTTTTATGTTGCTTGTTACCTGGACAGGGAGGGGGGCTATCTCATTCCTTGGTGGTCCAGTGGCATGGGCTGTGCAGGGGGGGGCCAGGAGCAAGCTGTTACTTACCTTTTTTCTGGAGCTCAGGTCAGCTCACAGTGTAAGTGTCGCGGTCTGCGTGCCCATGGCAACGCTCTGATGGCCGCGGGTCTCGCGAGACTTACACTGTGAGCTGAATGGGGGAGCTGACTGGAGTTGCTACAAAGGTAAGTAACAGCTTGCTCCGGCTCCCAACAGGATGAGCCCGGCGGGTCCTGGTCTGTATTATGGCAATGTAAGTTGCCATAATACATACAGTGACTCGAGTATAAGCCGAGGAGGGCTTTTTCAGCACAAAAAATGTGCCGAAAAACTCGGCTTATACTCGAGTATATATGGTACATAGGAACATATAATGTTACAGCCGATAAGAACCATTTGGCCCATCTAGTCTGCCCAATTTTCTAAATACTTTCATTAGTCCCTAGCCTTTTCTTATAGTTAGGATAGCCTTATGCCTAACCCACGCATGCTTAAACTCCCTCACTGTGTTAACCTCTACCACTTCAGCTGGATGGCTTTTCCATGCATCCACTACCCTCTCAGTAAAGTAATATTTCCTGATAGTTTTTTTTAAACTTTGCCCCTCTAATTCAAGACTATGTACTTATGTTGTGGTAGTTTTTCTCTACTTTGTAATGCAAATTTGCCATCACTGATTTACACTAAATACATTTAAAACTGTTATATAACAATAATTGCGTCTTTGTACAACATTACACCATAATAGATAATATATTGGACATTGACAGCTTGTTAAAACAAGAAGAAATCTGATTGAAATTTTGAGTCAAAAAGAAATTTATTTCACTTTTTGATGCCGAATTGGAAATCAGGTTTTTTCATCTTTTTTTTGGACCAACAGTGGAAACAGATGTGTGGAAAGTTAAAATGATGGACTAGAGTCTTTTTTTCCGAACTTGTAAGTATACCAATATAAAACTATGATGATTGTAAACTTGAAATCTGAATGACTAATTGTACTGTGAGATACTGTTAAACCAACACATATATTTATTTGCACTTGATTTCATAGAGTGTGTGATATTGCAATGGATATACACTCACTTGCTGATGATCAGTGTTTCTTCTCCGTTAATCCAGACTCTTACAAACTCGCCATACATGCTATTATAGTAATTTGTTGCTTTGCCTATTCCTGTCCAGAGAAACCGACAGTAGGAAATAACTGGACCAAGCCCCATGCAATAGGACGGACCTGAAAATACAAAATGAATCAGTGTTTAGCGGCAATTCAGCATTGCCTATTACACTGTCCCAAGACATTGGGCAACACTGCAGCCATACAAAGTATTTACATACAGTATTGTCTACACTGTTACTGGGGTAAAGGTTAGCTACCCGCAATGCAATGCTTTTCTCAACCTTCTCATATAGCTAAACACATTATTTACATTTATGTAACAGTAGCAACTATGTTTTATGTTTCCTTGTTTTGTTTTACAGTTAATGTTTGCTTTGGGGGAAATTGCAATGTATCGGGCTAGTGAGCTTGCAGATGTAATAAATAGAGAGTAATTATTCAAGTTAAAGTGACCCTGGGTGCAAAAGTAACAAATAAATCGTTTACTAGTTCGCTAGATGTAGATTTAATCTATATATTGCCCTTGCAAAATCAACAAAAAATGCAATCACACATAAGATTTGTTGGAGGCTTCCGTTTCAGGTGATAGCAAACCAGCAGGCATTAACTGAAGGTAGAAAATAGGACATGGACAAGATTCTCCAATGTCCCCCTGCTTTCTATTTCAAGGGATAATGGTAACATCTGGGGTTCCAAGTTTAGGCATCAGTAATCTAGGCAAGGGGTAGGTAACCTTCGCCGCTTTACATGTTGTGGACTGTGTCTCACCTGAAGCTCTTCCAGCTGTATGGCTATATGAGCAATTTGGGAGATGTAGTCAACAAAATCGGGAATGCCGAACATTGCAACCTAGGCCAAAGGTTGACAGGGGACTAGAGACATTTTGGGGAATAATGCACAGGTGCCCTATGATGACTTAAGTATAGGTTTTATTTTAGTAGTACAATTTTAGTAGTGTTATACCTACTTTGCTTTAACAATCATTAAATAGTTTAAATAGCTTCTTTTCTGTACATATCCCCACAGATTACATTGATGTTATGCATTTAAAGCACAGCATAGTGTGTGTTCCTTCAGCTGTACATTGACTATATTTGGGGGCGAGGTTTGGTAATTTTAATTATATGCACCCAGTAAATACTTTTTTATTTGTGTTAACAAATCTGATAAAAAATTATTATTTTGTATAAAATCACTATATGTACATGAGAGCATGAAAACCAATTGGAGGGGATTTTTTTGCATAATCATCCATAGAGATCAGAAAAGAAAAAAACATTACTACTGGTTAAGTTGTTATAACAGTAAAGTTTCCAAGTGGTGAGTTAGTTAACCTGAACAGAAGAATATCATTACTTTTTGGAGAAACAGAATAAGCCCAATCATTAAGGTAAAGCAAGCCAAGCTCTAAATGGAATGTGCATTTTTTTTAATTAAAATGTAAGGTGACTCACATGTACAATCCTTAGTAAAACACTTTATATATCAGAAATGTAAAGATAATAAGCATATAATAGATACTAGACTACACATGAAATTATCTCTAAAGGATTTTAGAATATGTAAAATTTTATATTTTTCCCAAAAAAATTCAATTTTCAAAACAATTCTGTTTGCAGCACCTGTTTTGTGATTTTTTCTTAAGTAATACCGACTATTGAAGTGGCTTATTAGTTTCATAAAATCTTACCACATTCCAGATACTACATATTCTAGATTCACGGAAGTGTTTCCAAGCCAGCAAAGGGGTACTAACACTCAAATAGAAAATGACTTAATAAGACTAATAATGTAATGTGACACTAAGGCCTCAATTTAATATAGTTAGATAAGCTTTCAAACTGAGTTCATATTTTTGGATAAACTTTTAAAATAATTTAATATTATGAAAAATATTTTAATTTTGTATTTTTTTACATATTGATATCATATTTTTTATATGAAATATTTTTGATATATTAATATTTTGACATATTTTTTTTTAAAGTGTATCCAAAAATATTAAATCATGTGGAGAGTTTATCCAACAATATTAAATCAAGGCCTACATTAGAAAAAAAACAAACTAGCATAATGTTTAGAAGGTCATTAAACACTTAGATTTCCAGAAATCTAATAAAATGTGATATGACTAGATTATAGGTTAACAACTTTTTTGAAAAGCTTTTCTTTGAAATAAATTTGCACTAATGAGCTTGGCTAGTATATACACTGAAATATTACAAACATTGAAAATACAATATGCAAGTAGGGGCAATATCATTACAAAACAAACATCCAAGTCAATGCACAGTCACATGCTGTCAAAACTATATAAAATACCTATCACAAGTGCAAAAATCGCAAAAGGTGCAAAAGTGTCAAAGGTACAAAAATAAATAAATATTTAGTCTGTAATATACTAAGCCCCCTATTCTGTATATTTTAACATATTTGGAGACTTCTGGGCTTATACACATAGCTGAAGTCCAAAGTAGACCATCCATTAGAGAGGAGTCTTGGAAAGTATATTAAACATTCAGGAAAATATAACATGAGTGTTAATTTGTAGGTATCCCATGTGAACTACTTTCATGCAATTCAAAGCTAAGCATGTAAGGCCCACTAAATATGAATAAATATACAAATTTGCACCTGATATTTAGGGTTTTTATCTATTTTCGAAAAATGTATAGCTTGTCTTACGTGGTTGAATGCTGATCATTAAATAGTAAAAAAAAATTGTCCTTCCATTTATTCATTTATTTACCTGGTATTGTCAAGGTTTCTTCTTGACTCCATAGCACAACAAGCAGAAATATAAAGATGAGAAAAGAGGCAGCAGTGGTAGGAGTCAAACTTGGTATAGCTTCCGTGATGTTAGACTGCATACTGTTCCACGCTTCTAAAATCATGTCTTTTCTTCTGCAGTTGAGAGAAGAAGAAAATTATGGTCCTCCAAAAGCTTTAAATGTCCAGATGAGGAATACAGTATCAGGGACTAAAGGCTATTCTGTTGGCATTTTATCCTCTTCGTATTTTGAGAATCTGCTTGATAAGAGCACAATTAGCCAAAACAGGAAGATAAGAGTTCTTACAGAGATGCACTTCAGTAACTGCACAGTACTTTTATTTGATTGTATATACTTGACAACTGCATAGTGAAGTAATGGCCTTGACACTGGACATATGAGCAAGATACTCTGTGTAACACTTGCAAGGGGATAGAAAAGTTATGTTTATGTTGAGATAGGAAATATTTTCATACCTCACAAAGAATGAAAACGTGTTAAGTGATATAAGATTGTTTTTTTTTGTGGTATTGAAAAGTACTTTTTTCTGTAAAAATCAGAACATAAGTTATGTTTTTTAATTTTAAGAAATTTCCACCTGCAGCGAGGCATTCTACAGCCCTTTGGCATACTTCACATGAACCTATACTGTGTAGTTGGGTTTTGCCATTCTAGCCATGGTGACAATGACAATATGTACATTTAAACTTTAACTAAAGCATATGACTTAATACGTAAGAGAAATATACTTCTTTATTTCCTAGAATATAATTCCTTCTTTAATATTCTGATCAAATTCTACATATGGAATAGTATTTTATAAAATCATAATCAATAGTTCAAAAATTAGTAGATTTACATATTCAACTTACCTGTTGACAGTGAAAATGTTTATCTCAAAAACATAGGGGCAATCATTATGTTATTGACTTGAGAGAATGGGTGTAAGACACTGGAAAATGGGGGAAGGAATCCCCTTCAGAAAAGCTCATAGGGGGTGAGAGGAGAAAAGTCCCCTAGTCATAATGACATGTTTTATTGTTTTAGATAAATGAGAAAAACAAACATAAAGCAAAATAGTTGATTATTTTTTCAATAAACATTCCAAAACAAAATGAAAACGATTTTTGTTAGATAATTGACCAGTAATTTTGTTTGTTGAAAACTGCCTGGTTTAATTTACATAGTTGCATAAGCTGAAAAATTAGATGCATCCATTAAATTCAGCCTCACAACTATTTTTTCTGTTGTTCCAAAAGAAGACATAAAATCCAGTTCTAAAACCCAATGCTCTCCAATTTTGCAACAAACTAGGAAAAATCCCTTTTGACCCCAAAAAGGCAGATCTGTCCTTGGGTCTAAAAGCTTTACATATTACACATATAAAAACGATATCCCTGAATATTATGCTTTTGCAAGTATTCATCCAGTTGCTGTTTAAATATCTATACAGGTACTTCTCACTTACCGACCGGGTTCAGGTCTTACGACCCAGTCGTAGAACAATTGGTCGGTAAGTGAGGAGTTGAGGGATTCCCTGCTCTGGTGCACTTGTCTATGTTCGGGAAATTTCCCCGAACATAGACAAACGCACCAGAGCAGGGAATCCCTCTAATCTATATTCCGGGAAACTTCCCTTTTTGTGTGTGTGTTTTCTTTGGAGGCAGGAGGGAAGTAAAAACAAAAAAGTAATGCAAAACTATTATTTATAACCATTTAATTAATTACTTTTCTGTAACATTCAATTAACATGTAACAACAAACACTTGCAATTGAAAATTAAATTAAAAAGAGAAAACGAGTTCTGAAATGTAAAATATGTGAACAAATATTCATGCTGAAACAGAACATTGTATATTTTTATATGGCTGTTAGAAGACTAAATAAGGATAATAAATAATTACACAGAAGGGCCCTTTCTATGCAATCTGTAGATAAACTGTAAGCGTTTACATTTAAATTCAGGAATGAAACGTACTTTTTCAGATAGATAATCAATATGTTTTACCATAAGCTTTCTATATCCATACGGGTACTTCTTGTCATTCGCAAGATTTGTTATAAAATCCTAGTACTACCTAAATTACATAAAGTATCTGTCAAAAGTTTATAATAATAATATAAATAGTCCAAAGTATAATTCTATTTAATTAATTAAAAAAACAAAAACAAATTCTGTGCACATATGTTGACAGATATGCATATATCCACAGAAACATTCTCCACAATTTAAAGATACATTAATACATAAATAAGTTATAAAGTATCCACATTATATATCAATGAAACATTTCCATTCCGCTGTTTATTCAAATTTTTTATTTTTAGTAACAACATTTGGAAAGAAACTACATTCTGTCCAACTAGCTATCACAGATACAATTATACATTAATTCCATGTTTTCTTTCCTGCTGTAACAAAAAATCATTTATTAAATATAATTCAACTGTACCTGTGTGGTCTGGAAACTTTGGCATTCTGTGAAAGGACCTTGGGATCTCCACCTTTTTAATGTACTGAGATTGAGAAAAAAAAAAAACTAAAAAAAAAAATATTTTTTGACCAGCAGTGTAAAGTGGTTTCTTTAGAAATGGTGCATCAAGTTGCTATGAGATCAGTTGCTTAGATACCGTCTGATTGATTTAAAAAAAGTCATTACTACAAACGGCTTGGTCTAAAAATAATATAATTGCAACCTAAAAAACACATTCAATATAGTTTTGTTTTGTTTTTCATTCAGGACTTACCTTAGATGTAATATGATGCAAGTCTTGACACAATATTATTTTATGTAAACGGGGAAAAAAAAAGTGAAAAACAAGCATCGTTGTAACATCAATGACTAATTGTTAAATGTGTGTATATTAAATTACACTGTGTGTCCTTCTGCTTTGTTTGATCAAGTGGTCTTTCTTGCCCTTTATCATTAGTCTTTGTTCGGCTCCCTGGAACAGGCATTGTATATGTATTTTTAAGATGCTTAGATGCCAAGCTATGTATATAAAATAACATTTTTGGTAAAAGAAGAAAAGGGTGTGAACGTTTGTCAGCTCAACTAGATATCTTTGAAGATGTTTCAGGCATGAACATATTCCACCAACATGCTATGCCTGCAACAGAAAAGAAAATTATTATTAGTGACATAGGCAATTATAGAATTTTATTAAAGAATGTATATATATATATATAACTTTACTCCGTTATTGCACACACTGAAAACTGATACGGCTCAATGGTCCAGCCTCTGTGTCTTGTAGTTTGGCAGAATGAATGCCATCAAGATGAATCTCCTCCCATGCTTACTTTACTTATTCCAATTGATCCCGATAAGCTTGCCTATGACCTTCTTCCAATTCATGGATACAGACATATTTAGGTTTGTATGGCAGTCTCGAGCACCTATGATCAAGAGAGCACAACTGCACCCGCTGAAGGCACAAGGGGGAGTGGGACTTCTTTCTATTTGGAACTACCACAGAGCCACACATCTGCTATGGGTGGTGGAATGGCATGTTCCTATGACATCCAAGATCTGGATAACATGGAGAGGCCTCAGGTAGAGGAGACGCTTCCAGCTGCAGTGTGGCGACCTTGAAGTCATGGAGCTCGATTAGGACAGGGCTTATGCTATCCATAACACTGGTTATATATAACCCTGAGGTAGCTGGGGGACTTACACCTAAGGACATCAGCACCTTTGGTGAATTGTACTGTACATACATGCACCAGTGGTGCACATCGGACGCAATAATGCCTCTACTGGACTTACTGCCGAACAGGACTCCAACGGGCCTGGACAGATTTTTCTACTTCCAAGTTAAATCTTACTACACTTCCCAGTATGGACAACGCCTATTTCACATGACTCTAAGAGAGTTTGAAGAATTGTGCAGGGCACGGGTACACCTATAAGGGAATCTCGGTTCTGAACACGCTACTCCAGGGCCGGACTGGCCCATCGGGAGGGGGGCCGGCCGGGTTCCTGGCTGGAGCCGCCGGGCCAGGTGGCAGCTTCCCCGGTCCGGCGGCCCGGCTCCTGTCACTGGCTGCTGTGGCTGCTGATGGCTGAAGGAGGAGGAGCCTGTCTCTGTACCATGCTCCCTCGCGGTTCCCACAATTCCCAGCACAGGAACCGCGAGGGAGCATGGTACAGAGACAGGCTCCTCCTCCTTCAGCCATCAGCAACCCTGGCACAGCTCAGTGTTGAAGCTTGACTTTGCCAACCCCTCTGACTTCTCTCTAAGGTAAAGGGAGGCGGGGAGAATGAAACAGAGAGGGAATAGGGGAATGAAACAGAGGAGGGGAATAGGGAATAGGGGAATGAAATAGAGAATAGAGGAATTGAAAGCAGGAATAGGGGGGAATAAGAAACAAGAGAAATAGGGGAATGAAACAGAGAGGAATGAAATGAAACAAGAGAGAGAGTAGGGGAATGAAACAGAGAGGGGAATGGGGGGGGAATGAAACAGAGAGGGGAATAGAGGGAGGAGGGCAGAGACACCGGGAAAGGGGGGTGGAGAGAGATGGGGAGAGGGA